CACATTGATTGTATATTTAAAAAATTTAAATGTTAATTGAACCTAGGGCACAACATTTACAGCGTTAATAACACCAATTGGTCTTTGTGAAAACTGTTTCCTTTTGAGATAACCCTTTTGTGTTTTCTTTTTTCAATTATTTTTTCCAACATCAATTTCCTCAACCTGAATCTTTCACCTCCCTCACCTCGACCCCCAGTTGATAGTTATTGAATGTTTTGCTTTTATAATTGAAATACTGCTGTTTTTGACCTCGTAGACACAACATCATGGCGCTAAGATTGACCACCCGACAAAACCAAATCCCAGATCAACTGCTATAACACAACCGTAGAATGAAGAATCCCCGTCAACTATTACTAGTACGTCTTCAAGTCAGCTCCAAGAAGTTGTAGCACAAGAGACAGGGTCTTCAGCAACTTCTAAAGAAGCTCCCCTTACTATATCCTGGAACAGACTGAAAACATCATCTATCCAAGCTTCCAAAGAAGTTTCCCTGACTACATCCTCGGGCAGATCGTAAACATCAACGCAGCCCCTTGTCAGCAAAAGTTTAAATTCTAGCGAGGAGAAAGTGATGCTAACTAATTCAGTGCCTCCTTCAACAAGTGATAATGTTCCAACTCCTCCACAAGACGACCTCACTATAGAAGAATCCATACGAGCCATAGGAGCAAGATTGAGGAAAACGCGCACTCGATAATAAATAGTGTTTAAGTCAATAGATGTTTGTTGGAGTTATTGATGCTAATGTGTTTTCAATTTACTATAGATCCAATGCTAACATTTGAAAAACCATATTTTAAATATTTACCAATTCTTTTATGAGGAAATTGCACAGAATGTCAATTTTTCTCAAGATATTTACAAAAATGTCACTTTTTTTTAAACATTACAAGAATGTCAATTTAAAACATATTTGCCCCTGAAAATAATTTCAAATTCCATACATGTCCTAATTAAATGAGATTTGACCCAATGGAAGAAATTGTACAAAAATCTTGTCAATGTCATAGATGAAAAGTTGGAAAAAAAATAGATGAATTTTATTTCTCTCATTCAAACAACTCTAACTCTCTCACTCACTCACTTACTCTCTCTCTCTCTCTCTCTCTCTCTCTCTCTCTCTCTCTCTCTCATTTCTCTTATTATGGGTTTCAATCCAAGCGAGAAAAATCTTGTTTTTTTTTTTACTCAGTTTTTGTGATATTTTTATCTAAGGGGTTTATGAGATGCGAAAAATGGAGCTTTTTGCTCGGTTTAAAATAAGAGCTGGGGCTTGGATTAGAAAGAGGTAAAAATCCTTTTGATATTCAGTAATTTTTTTGGACATTTTGAATAATTTTTGGTTGTGTTATGATTAGAAATGTTTTTCCCCAACTTTCTGCAATTTCATACCATAAATTTTAATTTTCTCTTTTTTTATACATCTTCTATTAGTGATGCATATATGCACACGTAACACGTGCCAACACTAATGTTGAGGGAAAAAATTATTTAGGGTTCCAATTTAATATTTATCCTCTTCCTTTGCTTTCAAAGTCCAAATTTTAAGTATTGAATGTTTCAATATTTTTGGTACTTGTGTGATGTGGAAATAACATTACTATTACTTGGAATCCATTTGTTGTGGGAGGTACCCGTATTAGGGTTGAACTCTTGCTAGACAGTTGATAGCATACCTGTGATTTTAATATTTTGTTATGCTCGAATATGGAGTGAAATAAGTTTCAATAAGACCTATTTGCTTAGAGGTGAAAAGTAGATTTTCTGATAGTTCATCTTTCAGTAATGTAGAGAAATGCCATCGCGCCTAACTGTCGATTTTGACAGTTAGCCTCGGTAATTCTCAATAGATGAAACAGTCGACAGATGAACTGTCGAGAACGACAGTTCAATTCTTCCCTCCGCTCAGTTCCACAAGTCAAACCTTGGTTCATTCTAACATTGCACGAGTGTTTTACATAAACATATATGAAATGCTATGATCTCATGATTTTTTTTGATTGATTTGTCTGTATTTGGTTAGATTTTTTCCATCCGAACGTCTCACATGTGACTGATTTCCATATGTGATTATATTTTTGTGTTTCACGTTTTTATTTGTATAACAATACCACCACAGTCACGATTCATTCTTCATAATTTTTGGATCACATGCAATTCAAATCTATTTTTGTGGAAGTTGCTTGTTTAAATTCAGATTATGATAGATTGCATGAATCAATTGAGTTATATTATGTACTGTGTTCAGATTGTTTTTGCACATAAGGTGAACGTTATTACATTTCTTCACATTGTTTTCTACGTGCTTTATCTCGGAATGCTAATTTCACCAATGTATGATGACATATGAGCAGACTCGTACTCATGACTTGAATGATCGTCAAAGTATTGGTGCACACATTCTTGCTATAATTGGAGATGGAACCAATTGATTTCGTTGTCAAAGAAAGAGCAACCTTCACAACGGTCTACTTTTGATGACTGTGGCACCTACACGGAAAAACATTTTGTTTTCTATTTATGTATATAATTTTGCATTAGTTGGTTTTATTTATGTGATATTGGCAGAGGAAACTGTTTTTGTTTCGTACAGAAAATGTTTATAGTAATGAATAGTAAATAGTAAAGAATAGTAGATTGTTTTTTAAATAGGGTCATGGAGCTACTCTACAGTACAAAACAATGGTTACATCATGTTCGATACTTGAGCAAAGTTGTGTACATAAAAATGATTTTTGGTGCATTTTATAACTTCCTTGCTTTCGAAACTCATTTGATTTATCGATTAAAACTGATATTCAATTAAAAATAAACATGATAGAATTGAATATTATGATTTGTTTCAATCGAAAACGTTCGTGAATCATGGTAATATCACTGGACATCGTTTTCTTGCAAAACATAATCAGCAGTTCTTTGTTTGCATTAAAATATTGTGCGTACCATGTTTCAATCAAGATGAAATGGTACACATGATTTAATGTACACAATTTTCATAAATGATAGACCAAGTGTGAGTGATACAAGCGCACTTAGACTTTAAAAGCATCACACTAATTGTCTTTTAAATTCAATTTGAGATGTGATGAAAATAAGTCTTCATCGTCGCGTGTTTCGGTCGGAGGTATATTCAAGTTAACGACCTTGAACTTCAATTCAATTTGAGTACGAGGATCAAGAATATCAAGTTTGTCCTTCAACATTAACAAAAGTCCGATTACGATATTACTTGTCGGAACCAGAATGTAAGTGGTTTTGTCCCCTCTTCACTTCTATTCGTCATCCGCATGAACAAACTTTCCCCATGCGACATGATGAAACTCAAATGATTATTCATACCTCAAATGTTGGGATTGCAACGATAAGAATTCTACAGAATCAATGTGTTGGCATTTAATAGCATAAAAGTGGCACTACATAATACATAAATCCGTACAATAGTAAAAGGTCAAATCGAGGCTTTCCATCGTTTGTAAGTGTTCAATTTGACAGTAAAACTATATATCCCGACAATTTGTAAATGTCGGGTTCGACATTTCAAACGTCTAACCCGACGGTTTGTAAATGTCAAATTCGACAGTTGAACCGTCGAAAATATCGAGAAGCAGATGACAATGGGCAGAACATATTCTTCAGCACAACACATTAAGTGTGATAATTAGTATTGAGTTAGATGAAAAAGGTCAGATTGGCCTTGTTATTGAAGAGACATTTAATGAAAACATTATTTGGTTTGAATGGAAGAAAGTACTCAAAATCTTAATAGTGATAATCACATTTGTGAAGGGTTAAAAAAAAAAATCAATGAATAATAGTTTCAAAAATTTTAAGTAAATATGTTCAGGTTGTATTTAATATTTACAAAACAGTAAACTGTAGAAGTAAAATGTAAATATTTTCTAATAACTAACCTTTTCAAAATGGATTATGAATACATGAGAAAAATCTTCTTGATCACTGAAATGAAGAAGATGAGAAAAATTAGGGTTTGTAAGGGAAGAAGAAGATATATTTGTTTATATTTCATTTTAAATTTCTTTTACCTTTTTTATTAACACAAATTCATATTAATCAATATAATACACATTTATCCATATTTTTTATTTATAAAATAAATCATCACATCAATATAATCAATTCTTTCAAATCAAGCAATAAATGCTAATGAATATGTGTCATTAAGGGTAATTTGGACATTTCACACAAAAGAAGTGATATTTTTACTCACATAAAGTGAAAATGACAACTTTTGGGGACCTCGTTAATTTTGTGACATTTTTGAAAATTCCCCTTCTTTTATAATAGTACATTTTCCTTGTCTTCTAAGAATAAGGTTTTTGGTCAAGTATAGCCGTTAGAACATTTACAAAAAGTGTTTCCTGAGGTTGACCTACGGAGCGCGTTTGGTTAAGACTGAATGAGTGAGTATTAAAATATTAACTTTTTTTTATTGATGAAATTTGAAAATTAGTAAATTACTTAGAATTATTATTTTAAAGAAGCAATCTTTTTACTAAAAGTGGGAAAAATGTAATTTAAAGTATATATGAAAATAAAGAAAATTACTTTTACTAATGCGTTAGATTATACAAATAATACCCCAAGAGATGAAAGTTTGACCTTCTTCACTAGGAAATATTGGGTATGACTTAACATAACCAATGAAATTTTTAAATTTTTTTATATAAACAAATGTCATAATGAATCTTTACCAAATTGTAACAATTGCCATCAAGAACGAGAGAATTTCAAATAGATCAAAGCTCGTTTAGAAGTAATGCATCAAGGCACTTAAGATCACATGAAAAAACTCGAACCAGGTAAGCTATATATAGGAGTGTGCGTAATTTAAGCTTAAGCTGGCAAAATCGAGCATGCCTAGAAGTCAATTCCCACTAAAAATTCAAGTTAGTGCTCTAAAGGAAGAACAAGTTATGTTAACTGAGACAGTTACTATAAATACAACTATCAGACCTATCCTAAGGTAACAAGGAGCCAGAAACTATATCTTTCATACACATAATACCACACAAAAGTTTCCCCAACCCCAACACACAACAAAAAAATAAAAGAAAAAAAATGTTGGTTTATCCTGTCCTATGCTATCAAACAGAAGTGAAAGATTACAGATAATTTTCCATTAGTGATAACTTGCAATCGACCGTCATCATTCACTCGTTAGTTGCTAAAATTTACATTCTACTTCTAAATGTAACAAACCCTTTTAAGTTATCTTCAGCAGCCACTTATTTCAACCTATATCACCAGAGCATGTGTTGAACTAAACCTGAGCTGGTGCTACACTTATCCTTCATATCTACCTACTGAGAATCATTGCTTATATTTGTCGCATTGGAGGAAAAAATAAAGAAAGAAATTATATAAACATCCGGAATTGATGGCCATCCAATTTTTTTCAAAGGTGTTTAGTAACTAGCAATCTTCTTTACCCCACATATCTACTGCACTGACCTCATGATCTGATTTTAGCCGGTAATCATTATCCCTCTGCAGATAGAAACCGAAAGTTTAGTTATTAAAAAGGTGAGGGAGGAAAAAACACTATCTCTGAAGCCCAAAGATAAACACACATCATCATCCAATGGGATTATTTTGTGAAAATCAGCTGATTGTCAGCTCGTTGTAGCATCCAATAAATGTTGTGCGGTCGACGGATATGCTATCATTCTTTTTCTCATTTTTGCTACAAGTGCCATTTTTGCTAGAGTTCCATAAAATTAGTGTTAGGGACCTGTATATCACAAAATGTATATATTTCTGGACATGAATTGTTTTCCTAATTATAGTACATGCGTATTTGAGTTTTTATTTTTTGGTATATGTGCAGGCAAAATGTCTACACAAACGTGCATAGAGAGAGAGAGTGCAATTAGTTGACAAGATATTATTCAAAGTACGCAATTAAGTGTATGATCACATAGATAACCTCAAGAGATACACGTCAATTGGTCTAGTAAGGCTTTGTAAAGTAAGTCTGTAATGCTTCTGTGAGAAACCAGTGTCCTTTGGGAAAAAAAGTAGCCAATAAGAAATCGACATATATGATCTATCAATCGTGTCTATCAAGGCTACCTACCTCATCCGGATCAGGAACTTCTATACAACTAGCATGGGGAGCTTTAACGACAATGACAGTTTGGTTCTGTGTCAATTGCAGCATAGACACATTCTGTTAGATGGAAGCCATGATGCATATAGAAACCATGAGATTAACAAACCTTAAAACATGGGAGGCTCATGAGACCATCTCCAGTCAGAAGAAGATTCCTAAAAAATGCAATCAGAAAAGTGTCTAGCAAATGAAATCAAATACTGAAATAGAGATATATCATCAAGAGAAAATATGGCATACTTTTGACAATTCAGATTAGATCCCAGTTCTGATAGATGATCTAGTTTGTCCCTGGATAAATATTAGCTGTTAGAATAGCACCTAGAACTACTAAACTATAGAATACTTAATTTTTCCTTTAGCAATTAATCAAACCTTATGCTATTATCAATTCCATGTTCTTCGGCATATGGACGCTCAACTTCAGCCTGTAATGAAAGCAAAAAATTATAAGTTGTCAAAACTTCATATAATAAGAAACCTTTCGAAACAAAATCACTTTCCCACACAATAAAAAGTTTCTGCACTGAAAAACCTCAACTTAGAAATATAATATTGCATGTTTAGGATGTAGCTTACTGAAGATCAAGTCGTATTCTTATGCGAAAGAAAGCTATAAACATAGAGTTTTAAAACATCTAACCAATCAAATGATAGTAAAGGATAACTATGTTCTGCCCATATTAATCAGGAAAATCCAAATACTCTGATCGAAGAAGACAAGTTTTGCAAATATTTTGTTACTAGGCATCATTTGTCCAGCGGTCATATTTGTATGAACAGAAATGCCCACACACTTTTTGTAGATCATGGCAAATAACATAGTTATTCTAATATTCTCCAAATCGCATTATACTATAACCACAAAATGACACCAGTTGGCATCGTAAGAGCACCTTCAATTGAGACACTTGATCACGCAGCTCTCTTGGTCCAAATATCCTAGATCCTCTGTCATGAAGAAGCTCATTAATTGTAAGAAATAACAAGACAAAATAAAAATAACATCAAGTGTTCAACAGCATCACTTCCAACGTATGTGATTCTTAGTAGTCTTATCTATTAGACCTATGCCTTCAAGAACATTGGTAATGTCATAAATTCACCTCTTCTGGACCTGTACAACAATAAGGAACAATGTAAGCTATATTTTCAAATAGGCACAAACTATAAACCAGGCCTTCTTTAACTATTATCAACCTATTTACTTTGCAAGTTTTGATCTTATTAATAGCGTTACCTCCAAAACTTCAGCAGTTCTGTTTAGATCAAGAGTACCATCGTCAGCCTCCTGGATTAACTTGATAAATTTTTTTGTTAACAAGCCTGCCAAAAGCATAGTCCATCACTTTCTAAACCCATGCAGCAAGTGCAATTAGAGGATCTGACATAAGTTCTACACCATCACTATTACGATAGAGTTCAAAACTATAAATATTCTCAGTTTGTCTCACCTAAAGAACTGTCGTACTGACAGCAGGCAGCTAGATTCGAGTTATCAAAAGATTCTACAAGAAAAGAGGTATCAATGAGAACTCAATTTGACTTAAACTAATGTCTATAATATTCCAGTAGATGTAATCCAAGTGGTCTGATATGACTTTACCCAAGTTTTCTTCCTCAATAACAGGTTTCCCAAATCTTGAAGCTTTACGTCTGGCACTTGGTCTAGCATCAACACAAGTTTCAGTTCCAAGTGAAAATTGTTGACTGGTTCGGCTATGTTATGAACTTGAGTAGTCCCATTTCCACTTGTATTAGCTTCATAGTTTCCAAGTTCATTCAAGTGCTTCAAGAAAGATTTAGAGCTTCATAAACAGAGATTATAAAGATTCAAAGCCATAAAACAATGCCATGCCGGCCAACTTGATTTGCTCTATATTACTCATCGAATTGTTGAAAATTTGCACCTTTATAATGAAAGTTCAAGTCAAGTGTCAATTACTAATAATCTAGTTAAAGCAACAATAAACTCCTCCTGAAGTACATTATGCTGAGAAAGTCCATTTGAGCTTCTTGAGTTTATATCTTCCAATCAATTGCATATAAGTCCAAGTAAAAACCTCATCAATATGGAGAGTCTACTCCCTCGCTCACATTCAGAAGCTTCTCTAATCTGAAACGTAATGTGTTTGTGAGAAAAAACTGATAACTATCTATTGAAGATGATTATCATACCAATTTACACCAGCTGTATTGATTGACTTTATCTGTTCATGAATCTTTTGAGTAAAAAACTTATAATCCCTTAAAAATTCTTTGATTACATAAGGCCATATAAAACTTAGACAAAATTCAGCGATTGCTTCAAGAAGAAAAGTTATTCCATCTCACATTAGACATATATAGGAATGACCCAAAAAAAAAAGGAAATTCAAGAACAAACTGAACCTTAAAAACAAATTTCAAGAACAGTCAAACACAAACATCAGAGGCTTACAGAACGAAAGAATTTGCGACATGTCATAAACAAATGATTGACATGCATACTTAAAGCACAGTTTTGCGAGCACGCTCACCCCAGAGACTTTAGTAGGATAATAATTGGGTCAGTCACTAATTAATTCACGGCCGAGTTCAAATACCGCAGGTTTTGTAAATTGAAGATCCCGATAAATTATTTACTAATCACATAAATAAACTATGTTTATAAATACGTGTGTACACAATAGAAATACACAAACAGTCACAATACTACATTTAGCATCATTAATTAACAAAAATACGCACCATAATGTTTTGAAGCACAGGGTGCGACTTTGAATCCGGAATGCAAGAGATATGAAAGTATTGTCTTTGGAATAATTAGTAGTATTATTAGATGTGATTATATTCGTGTTTTTCGAGTTGCGGGACGGAATGAAAGGGTTTAGTCTTTTACGATAAGAAGGCACGCGGCGCAGCACCGACGAATGCGACTGTGTTCCTACGTGCATTTGCGATACCGGCAGAGTTAAGCTCAGATTAAGGTCCAAATTATCACCGGAACTCGATATATAAATAATTTGAGCCCAAAAATTGGAAAAAAATAAAAATAAAAATGCACAAACTAAACCCTCTATTTCAGTTGGGGCGGCGGGGAAGGAGAAGGAGATCTTTTATAAGAGAAGATTTTATTTTGGAGGGAATATATGAGAAGAAAGAGACCTAATGGAAAGCAAACATAAGAACAGGACGCCACCTCACGCCGCGGCGAGGGTGGAGGCGGAAATCGGCGGGAAGTGCGGTTGGAGGCGGTGAGTTCGAATCCTCCTAACCGCCCCGCCTCCGTCCTTTTCAACTATTGGCATGAATTAATAATTAATTAATAGGTATGAAATATTTGATCCGGGGGCTCGGCTCGGTTCAGTGAAATATTAGAATACCAGTGCCTACTAAACCTTCGTATGTGTTTCTATTGTTATAAATAATTACTGTAATTGCTGACTCACTGAAATTTACATCAAGTTGTGAGGTTGAATAGCTCCTTTTCATGTGTTAATAAAACATTGTGAACCTTTGGTGGGTCGATCAATTGCATTAGATAATAGATGAAGTATCTATCTTAACTGCAGCCGCATTTGCCATTCGATTCCCAAATCTACACAGTATAGTGGATCAGATAGAGTTTGATCTTGGCTTAGAAGGAACACAAGTTCTATGTTGAACACATGCAAGTCGACAAGATCTTGCTTTCTCGTCTCTCTTTCAACCTTGTATTGGGATATCGGGGAATAACAATTTATGAGGTATTAATATTTTATGCAAAATATATTTGGTAGCTTAAGTGAATGCGTCGAATAAGATCAAACTAGATGTGATAAAAATTTGTCAACTAATTTATGAGGTACTGATATTCGATCAAAGCATGGTCGGATCTAGTGGTGGACTGCACTTGGCTGCAGCCCACTGTTTACCAAGTCCAATACACTAAATTTTTATTTTTATTTTTTTTATTTTTTAGTTTTATTATTTTTTGGAATTGTAGTCTATTAGCCCACCAATAATTAATTTTAATGGACAAGCCTACCTCAAATGATTTTTTGTTTTAATCTTTGGCCCACTTATTTGTAATTAATAGATTCAATATCCATTGTCCCATTTCTTCCTATTTTTCTTCACGTATAATCCTGTTCCTTTAGTCTTTGCAAAACCAATTGAAATAATTCCCAAAAATCAAAATCTTTCAACTCTAAATCTTTTGATTATTTGAAGTACTATGTCTGTGTTATTTGCTAAGAAGAGGGTCCAAGACTCCAAAGGTTGTTGAACTAGTTGAGAAGGTTCAAGGTTGGTTCTCTGACTTTGGATGAAAAATCCATTTCATAGCAATCAGTAACACCCTGTTGGGGAGTGATTTTTTGGTCCAAAAAATTGATTTGTTGATCGTTATTTCATTATTTCAGCCGTCATATTTGACTTCTTCTCTCACAGGTGGACCCCACTTTTCTCCTAACGATCAAAAAATCAATTCTCAAAATCACTTCCAAACAGGCTCTAAATTAGAATTGGAAAGTTGGAAAGTTATCTATTGGTATTTATTAATTAAACAAAGATAATGTACAAGTAACAAAGTCATTAAACTATCTACTGTGCAATTGTGTAATAAGTGATGATGGTTTATGGTTATGGTTTTATCAATTTATATTTATGCCTTTATAGAATATTGAAGCATTTTGATTTTTATGCTATTAGATGAATTTTATACTGTAAAATATCGTCTGGTACCACTACAATAGGTAACTTACATAACGAATTTTTCTTATTATATATAATTTTTATTCGTACATTAAATTTTTAAATTTTTTTGTCCCCCGTAGCATTAATTCCTGGCTCCGCTTCTAGATCAAGGCATATTGATGTGGTCTATAACCGTCCACAAGAGTCTATTTCAAACTTCATCTTCTCTTACTGATGGGTATCACAACTATGGAAATCCTCGGGTTGCTGGGGTTCGATTAAGCACCTCACAAGTGATGATATGGACAAAGTTATTCTTGCTATTTCTTTAGCCAATCTACATTGGATTTTGAGGGTTTTGCATGTTGTTGTGGGTCCATATGGATGGAAGGTAACCGGATTTTGCACGGAGGGGGTAAGCAACGCAGGAGAAATTGTGTGGCAGTTAATGGATGGGACAAAAATTCATTATTTTTATAATTAACGTCCCAAAAATAAGTTTACACAATTAAAAAAGTTCAGATAGTAACTTCTTAAATTGTTGCAAATTTTTTTCTAATAAATTATACACTCGTTTCAAAGGGATGCTTAGGATACCATCTGGTCAAAACTCAGTGAGCCAAGACTGGAAATTTCATCCCCAACCTAATATTTTGACAGGAATTGTTCGAATTTCATGACATTGCTCGACCTACTGGACAAATTATGATTGTTTTGCTTGCTTTGGGCTTTTTTCTTATTGTTTTGCTTCGATAAGGAGCAAAATAACAATAGATTCTTTCAATTTTTCGCTAAAAAAATGGCCTACTTGTATACATGCATAACAGAACTCGATTTTCATAGAAAATTAGTTCAATTTCCCCCGTTTTTCTCCAAAAATGAATCGATTTTCATCAACCCTTCTCCTTGATGCATTTGTGGGGTGAAATTTAGCCCTTGTTCGAGACTCATTTTGCTAAAAATTCATTTTTTTCAAAATTTGTTTTCAATTACACAGTCTTTAATAAAATAATATTACACGCAAATCCAAAATTTTTCCTTAACTATTAATCACACATTTTCCATCAATCTACTATTCAAAATGCCCCCCACCCCCCACACAAAAAAAAAAAGAAAAAGAAAAAGAAAAAAGGACTCAAACAAGGGCTTATGATAATTAGGGGTTAATTGAAAGCGTACCTTTGTTTAGAATTATTGGAAATTGCTGTATGTTTTTGGCATAATTTTGAGTAGGTGCTAGCCATTTCTTCTCTTTGAAAGATTAAAATAGATTATGTTCTCCTACGTGAGAACATTAAAAATCTTATATTCGCACGCTCAAAACGATGATTGGGTGAATAAAAAATTGAAACTCAAAGGGAAAGTAAAAGAAGTTTGTCCCAAGTGTAAAAATGATAGGGCATCTTGCATGTGTAAGCAGAGAGTGGAATTCTCAGGCATGATTAACACTGGCACATTGAGCTTTTGACTCGCGTGCAAGTGCATCCTATGAACAAGAATGCCGATCTCAACTTGGTGATTATGAAGCACCATTTAATAAAATTTTGTGCACAAAATGCAATAACATATGAAAGGATGAAGACATGAATGGTCCTCAAACTATATACTATGTGCTAAAATGTCCTCAAACTTTAGATTGGACTTCAATAGACCATTAACTTTTAGTCATGAACGCGTTAGTCAAAAAAATGAATTCCGTCCAAAATCATTAACAAATGTCCTACTTGGAGAACGGATTGATGACATGCATTACATCTGATGGTACTTTTTCATCTAATAGACCCAAAAAAAAAATTAATAAATAAATAAAAAATTCACATCAATTTTTAGAAAGTCCTTCACATTACAAGCGCATTAGAGAGTGTTCCATGTGGCACTTCGATAGAAAAACTTGTTTACACTATCAAGTCAAGATACTGCTGAGCAGTGTTTATAAACAATATATCTCAATTGACCTAAACCAGTTGGGCGGTTGTTGAAATTTTTTGTGGATTGTGAGCATGCATGGTAAAGTGATTTTTTTTTTTTTTAAAGATATTCTGCCCACTAGTCAAGCTCTTGGACATGGACATTTTCCAGTGGTCATTAGCCCTTTTGGTGATTGGATTCAAAATTTTGATGGGAAAGACGTTGGAGATGTGTTTCCTTATTGATATGTTATGGAGATGTTGGAATTACAGGAATTTTATGGCGAGATCCTAGTGAAGTCGATCAAGAAACAGTGTTCTCTATTACACAGCCTCTGTTCAATTTAAATAAAAATCAGATTTTTTTTTATAAAAGTTAATGAAATGTGTGTAGTTGAAAACTTAATAAAAGTTATGGATTTGACGGAATGTACAGTCGAAAATGAATTTGAGGGAAAATGAGTTTTTTTTTTTTTAAATGTCTATATAAATATATATAGAGACCAAAAATTGACAAAATATCAGATGGACCTCTGGTAAATGTCCTATAAAAAATGGCCAAGATTTTTTTTTTTTGTGTGTGGGAATTATTTGTAGATATCTTCGCCTTATCCAACAAATACATTTGAGGTTCAGTGGTTGGAGAGTAGCATCATGAATGCAAGTCCATGCTATTCTATCGTAAGGGAAGCTAATGGTGTTGCACCCAATTTAGCAAGACAGTGAGACACTCTCTTAGAGAAATGTAATGTAAACCGATTATTTACGCAAATCACTAAAAAGAAAAGAATTATGGGCGTCAAAACATAAAAGGTCCGACGAGACCCAATTTGATCTACTTGGAAGTTTTGGGATACCATTATTTATTTATTTTTATTTTTTTTAAGTACCAATTTCAGTGTTTATGAGGGGTTCAATTTTGAGTAATTTTTAGTAACGATTTTTCAAATAGTCCAAATTGTGCTTTAGACTTCATTATTTAGGGCTTATTTGGTAGTAATTTTGAGAATTAATTTTTTGACTGTTAAAGAGAAAAGTTGGTTCTACCTGTAAGAGAAGAAGTAAAAATGACAACTAAAATGGTAAAATAATGATCAAAAAATTGATTTTTTAGGGAGAAATTAATGCCAAACATGCACTCAATAGTTTCGAAAGTTCTTTTTTTTTTTTTTTAATAAAATTACATATATAACCAAAATATATGTATGTGCAAACGATATAGAGTATATGTGTACATCACTCTTTACAATTAAGTCCTTTTTTGAGCCATATTATTTTCATAAGAATGCATTTTTGAATAGTATATCAATGAAAAATGTTTAGTTAAAAAGTAAGAATTTTTTTTTAATTTACGTGTAATATTATTTTATTAAAAAATGTGTGGTTGAAACTTGAAATGATGTCAAATTACTGTTTAAAAATATATTTTTTTAAAGAATGTGAGTCAAACAAGGCATGAATATAATTTTATAAAGTTTATCTAATTAATTTTATTGTATATGGACTAACCTTTGAGTTAATTTTTCCAATGTTTATTGAGCTTTGGTCTATATCTTTGATTAATTACTGAAATTAAAAATATCGAGTTTTTGTTACTGAACTTAAATCAATGGTTTTTATTGCTCACTGAACTTATGTCGATGTCTTAAATTGCTCACTAAAATTTAAAATGTCAAGTTTTGACCACTGAACTTTGAAATATGCCGTACGTTTACTCACTAGCATAACTGTTAAATTTTGAAAAATATCGAGCTTGCAGTAAGTAATGTACAGCATTTTTTAATATTTAGTGAGTAATGTACAACATTTTTTAAAGTTCAATGGTCAAAACTCGACATTTTAAATTTCAATGAGCAATCTAAGACATTGACCTAAGTTCAGTGATCAAAACTCGACATTTTAAATTTCAATGATCAATCAAAAATATGGACCTAAGTTCAACGACCATTGGAACAATTAAATCCTAACCTTTGGGTGGATGTAATTAAAAAAATAAAAGATAACAAGCATAGGGCTTGTTTAGTAGAATTAATTTTATTACCGTTACAGAAAAAGTGGGTCCCACATGTAAAAGAAGAAATAAAAAATAACGGCTGACTTTAAAAAGTAACAAGCAAAAAATTCATTTTTTGAGTTAAAAAATCATAACCAAACATGCAAATAAAAGAAAAGAGAGAGTACCTGGTTGAAGATATAAAGAATGGTCTTTGGAAAAAAAGATCGTTCGAAGCTTTTGTAGGGAATGATTTATTTGAATATAAATTTCCTTCTAGGGTATATTTGAAAATAATTATTTCAGGAAGAGTAAAAATTGAAAGAAAATTGAAAAACGACAAAAAAGGGGGGGGGGGGTGAGTTAAAAAATCTTAACCAAACATGCAAATAAAAGAAAAGAGAGAGTACCTGGTTGAAGATATAAAGAATGGTCTTTGGAAAAAAAGATCGTTCGAAGCTTTTGTAGGGAATGATTTATTTGAATATAAATTTCTATTATTTTTCAAGTTTCATTCCTTCTAGGGTATATTTGAAAATAATTATTTCAGGAAGAGTAAAAATTGAAAGAAAATTGAAAAACGACAAAAAAGGGGGGGAAATCATCGATTCAATGAGATAGAGAGAGGGAGAGCCTGTTTGAACTTTAAAGATATGAACTATGAAGTGTGGGGTTTGACAGAAAAAGATCGTTTGAAGCATTTGGATAGAATGATTTATTTAAATATCATTTTTTTTTTAAAAGTTTCGTTTCCTTTTATGGTATATTTGAAAATAATTATTTTGAATGGAGTAAAAATTGAAAGAAATTTGGAAAACTGACAAAAAACCATCAATTTGATGTGTTAAGAAATACAACCCAAATTACACTATACCGATTTTAGGTATTTTTAAATTACATAAAACCATTGCCAAAAAAATAACTAGCACCATTTTTCCCAACATTTAATAAATAGTGTCATCAAAATAGACAAAATAAAAAATAAAATAAAAGTTGGCAAACAAACTCTAAGAAAAAATTGACCAAAAAAATTATTAGTTGTTATATTCACAGCGCATTTTAATTAAAGTAAATATCATTAATCGTTATTCATTATCATACATATATCCTTAACTATTTTTTCATCACACTCTTATTTTTAACATTTCATTAATCATAAAATCTTATCATTAATCACAATTTTCATTTGAAAATACTGTTAATGTGCTTTAAAATGAATGTTAAATATTTAATCGCATTTTTGCTATATCATTTGATTTACTTATTTAAAGGTACAATGGATACATGAGTTTTTTGAACACTACGTTAAAGAAAATTTTTGGGAAGAAACCATAATTAGGAATAATTTGTGTATGAATATATTTAGCTAAGGATTATTTATCGATCTTAGAATATCGCCAAAAGACTTTTTAAGCATAAATATTCTACATTTTAGAAATTCAATCCTTAAAAATAAACTCCAAGTGCAGATTTGACTCTCTAAACCTACTCCCTATTCTTAATTAACAATGATTATATTTAGAGTTTGTTTGATCCCCTTTTTTGTCCAAAATGTATTTTGATGAAAAATGTATGGGTAAAAAAAGGAAAAAAATTGAGTTTACTTATAATATTATTCTACTAAAAAATGTGTGATTAAAAATAAGATAATGAAAATACATTTTAAAAATAATGGGGACCAAACAAGAGCTTCCCCCGTTTGGCCCCCATTTTGTGGAAAAATTAATGGGTGGAATAGTATTTTTTTGAAAAATGAGTGATGAAAATGGAATGAAAAATTTTAGATTTACGTGTAATATTATTTTGTGGAATATTATGTAGCTGAAAATAGGAGATAGAAAAATGAAATGGAATGGAATGAAAATTAATGGGGACCAAACGGGAGCTAAACTACAAATTTCAATAATCGACATTTTAAATTATTTAAATCACAATTGAATTGATTGATAATTAGCATATAAAAAATTATGTTGAATAAAATATGAGGAAAATTTTGTTGGAAAAAATAATAAAAAGTTAAAATAAAGATTATTATTGAAGTATATAAAAAATAATTCTACTATCTAAATTAAAATAACTTTCTATCATGCACAAAGATGTTTCTTATAAATAGAAAGTAATATTCAAACTGGTCTACTTAATTATAAGTTAAAGATCACCAATATTAAAAATCACAACTTATTAAATAGTCACAAATTATTAAATTTGTAAGTCACGCATTATTTTTTTGTCACAATTTATCTTTTTCAATGGCCACATATTGTTCATTGGTCACAGATTAATCAATTCACTGATCACAATCAATCAAATAATCTGTAACCATCACCAAAACTTATGACCACCACTTCAATGCTGTCTCCAACAACACCATTACCATTGTAACCGCCAAAACCACCACCACCACATCGGTCACAAATTAACCAATTTATTGATTACAACTTTTAGTCAACTAATAAAATCTTCACATACACCCACATCCCATCCCACAATTCCAAAGCACTGCACCACCACCAACCACCAGCAACGCTACCCACCACCACCATCGTCGACAACACCATCATTACAACACCAATAGCACAATGCCCCATCCCACAACTCCAAAGCACCGCACCACTGCCAACACTAGATCGTGTCACTAATGTCATTCCCACACATAAACCACCCACCACAAGAACCACCACCGCTAAGTAGATTGAATAAAAAACAAAAAATTGCAGATTTGAGCACCCGCCATCGCAAGATCTACCAACAAAACTGCCAACACCCCACAATCGCCATCGCCTCACTGCCGTCGCCACTTCCAAAAAAATTGGGGCCTTTATTCTCTCTCCCTACTGTATTTCTCTCTACTTTATCTCGACTAACTACCGTGAAATAAAATTCCATTGTGAAATAAATTGACAACGGTGCATAAATCGTTGCAATCATGATCGGTGAGATCTGTTGTGTCTCATTGCTGCGTGCCGTAAGACTCAGATCTATATCATCACTACATGCGGCGATCTCACAACCATGCAGCGGCAAAGCCCCTGCAGCAGGATCTTTGACACCCCTACTTCGCCACTAGTGTGTCACGGCTTCGTGCGGCTCCCCGCTACACAACGGAGATGGTTTTGATGTTTTGGGGTTTTGGGGGGGAGAAAATTGTGGCTGTGAGATGTTTGCGCTTCTGTGTCCTGTAGAGAATGGAGAGGGATACGAGAGACAAGATGAGGAGGGAGAAGATGGTTTTAGGGTTTGGAATGAAAATTATATCTTTAATATTTAATATTTATATATGATATATCTGATTTTTGAAAAGTGAAACTTTCCATCTGATTTAAAAATACCGGATCTTAATTATAGGGTTCTGTGAAATTACCACTAAAATTAATAATGATATGATGATGGGCTGCAAAGGCAATATTAGACCTTTCGAAAGTCTTCTTGTAGCTAAAAAAGTTCCTGCAACTCGCATTCGTTCCTAAATACTCTTCGGCCTCACACACACACAATCAGACCGTTTTCGATCCTTATGCAAGTAAAAGTATACACATGTTCGTCATCATCTTCACACCTTCACTCACCATGGACACCAATTCGCAAACTCAAGATTAGACCGAAAACCTCTCTTAAACCCTTAACTCTCTCAAACTCTTTAAAAACCTCCAGCTTCAACCATGAATTTCAAGAAGAAGAAAAACTAAAACTCATCCTCAACAACAGTAGTGCTCAAGAAATAGTCAGTCTCCCAGTTGTAATCCGACACTCAGGAGCTGTTTCAAGGTACTTTTGGGATGGAGATGACCTGAAACTTGCCTCTGTTGATGGGGTTAATGCATTTTCTCTTAGGGATTTTTCTCTTGATATTGGTGGTGGGGTGAGGAAATTGAGCAGAATTTGTGGGTCTGCTGTGAGGGACTTTTTTCTGCCCAGGGAAGTGTCTAATAATTACTTAGGATATGTGAAATGGAAATTCTTGCATAGAGTTTTCAGCTCTGCTCTTCAGGTTCTTGCTACTCAGGTATTTCTAATATTGTTAATAAGTTTCCGAATTAATTGAAAAATCAAGTCTTTAGGATAATTTTGGATAACTTTCATAGAATTTTCAATTCTGCCCATCATGTTCTTATTATCCATGTTTTCAGTATTTTGAGCTTCAGGGGGTATCTTAATGGTCTAATTTAATGTAGTTCAAGTCCTTGGGTGAACGTTAATGATTCTGCTAATCCCAGTAATAAATTCCGTTTCTTGCTACAATGTAAATTTAGCTTCTGGCTTGGTGGTATTTGGAAAAGTTTGAGTCTTTGAATTAATATTTACGGTTTACCACTTTGGACTTGATGGTTCTTACTTTTTTCTCCCATAAAGTATAGAAAATAATGAAGTTTAAGTGTCTTGTGTGGATAATTGCTGCACTTAAAAACTAAAATGCAAAAATTCTGTTGTGAACTTAAGGAATGCTTATATTTCATGTATTCTACTTTGATTATACCAGCAATCTTTTTGCTGCTAGTCTATCTTGAAGTCAATCAATAGGTCTGTTTGATTATGAGTGTGTACATATTGGTGTTATTCTTTTATCCTCTAATTCTGTTTTGACCTGTTCATGACACATTTAGTCTATTATACATGATTGATAATGATATTGAATGGGTATATTTAGGCAATGTTTCGTGCAATTGGGATTGGTAAATCTCGTTCACTTGCATCTGCTGCTGCCCTAAATTGGCTCTTGAAGGAAGGACTTGGGAGGCTGAGCAGATGCATCTATACTGCTACCCTTGCGTCTGCTTTCGATACCAATCTGAAGGTCTAGCTTTTACACCTCAAGGGAGGGTGGCAACATACATTCTCCACTTATTCTCTCTCTCTCTCTCTCCACCCCCCCCAAGTTAGTTCAATTCTATTTGGACCTTTTTAACCACGTATTTCCTCATTTTATTTCTAATTTTGAATAAATGAAGATAACCACATATGTTGTCCAAAGTATCTACACACCACAAATTATTAATTTTCGATAGGTTTCCATTGACGGTATCGTGTATTTGATGAGAATTTTTGGAAATTATCTTGTTGTATATGAAGCTGAATTGGTGCCAAAGTTGATGAGTTGTTGATGCGTCTTTGTTTTAACTGAAGAGGGTTAGGTTCTCAACATCTGTTCTGTTTAGTTTGAGCATTGGAGTTGAGTTGTTGACTCCAGTCTTCCCCGAGTACTTCCTGCTTCTTGCAACAATTGCAAACATTGCAAAGCAGATATGCCTGGCCTGCTACTTAGCAACTGGTGTAAGTTTTAGTACAAGAATGTTTTATACACATCCTATCTCATAAGATCTTTTATAATTTAATGTTCTATGATATTTGTTTCAGTTAATAATCTCTTGAATTGCTGATGAATTAGCATGATCCTGCCTTCTTGCTTTTACTCTTAGTTTCCATCTCCCCTCTAATACCTTTTATTAATTTCATGTTTTGGATGCCATGTTGCTAATTCTTTTTCAACACAAGTGCTTTTCTTGTTTTAAAACTGGAGTTGAATTTTTAGTAGTTTCTGTAAATTAAATGAAGTTATCACTTATATGTATTAGTTCATGTAAAACCAATATACATCTTTTCTTGGGCTGATAAACCTGTAAATATCATGTGACGTCTGATGCATAATTTTGTGACTGATATAAATTGATTTGCAAATTAGACATGAATCTGGATTATAGTGGTCCACCCATGTAAAAGAATATCTTGATTTTTCCTTCTTTCTGTTACTATTTACTTGACGTAAAAAGGAATTTCCATTAAATATGTCAATACTATCAAAGATATGTATGTTGGAGTAGTCACAAGTGTACAATCTAGAACAGATAACCGTAGAGAATACACTATTACTCTACATTTGTCTCAAAATTCTGCTGTAACTCGTAGAATTTTTGCTAAGTAATGATGAAGTTAGGAGGTATATCTAAAATTAGGGTTCTTGTTACAGGTTATTTATTATTTTGATGTCTCATGCCAAGTCATTAATTTGATGTCTCATGCCAACTTATTTTTAGTTGATGATATGAAGAGGGGATAAGTTGCCACTTAAAAAATTTGTAGCACTTTAGAATTTGAAGGTACAAGGTTAAATAAGACTAAGACAGAATGTAACTGTCCTTTATATCATAGAAAGAATGACATAACGAAGGATCATAATGTCCCAATTGTGTAGGTAGATATGATTATTACTAAGGAATGGTGATGTGACAAGAATACAATGCTTATGATCAGAGGATGTTGGATGAAATGGAGAAATGTTATAGGGATTCTTATTACTTATTAATTAGAAGACACCCACCAAATTAAAAGGTGAGTTCTACAAAGTGGTGGTCAGAATAAATATACCTGGATGTTATAGAGATATTGACTTTAGTGACAGAATATTGATAAAATATAAATGGATAAAGATGAATATGTTAAATGGATGTTGCAACATTATTAGAATGGATAAAATAAAAAATGTCAATTGAACATAAATTATTAGGGTGACTACATGGTTAAAGCGTGTGTTGAGTGGACCTACAGAAGTGCCTATGTCCATGGCATTTCAATGGAACATTTTGAAATGAGAGATTTAGATCACTTGCGAAACATTTAATTTTATCATAAACTTCACTAGATGTAGCATTGGATCTAATGTAATGGCAAAAAAGGATTCATGAAATCAACCCCTAATTTTTTGAAAATGCATCTTAGCTTTTTTTGGGATGGGTGGAGGAACCCATTTCTAATAATGGATATGTACTTTTCTTTCCTTATATCTATCATGCCTACCAGTTCAGTGCATTCAGATGGAAAATTTAAATTCTCGCATTGTCTGCAGACTACTGTTCACCAAAGCTTTGCGATTGCAGACAATCTTGGAGAAGTTTCTGCAAAGGCCCAGGTTGACTATAAAATATCATATAATGAATATTGTATTTAGCCCCTATATGAGCCCCATTTATTGTGAATAGATTTCATAAAAAGGGATTTTTATTTTTTATTTATTTTTCTGAAGAATGTGTAATTTAAAAGTAAGAAAAATTGCAAAATTATTTATTCGGAGAATGTGTAGTCGAAATGGGTTCGGGGAAAAATGAGTTTTAAAGAATTGGGCTCAAATGGGGGCTTAGTGTTTATTTATGATATGCAATCTGATTATTGGTTGTGTTTCAGATCCAAACAGTGTGCTTCGATAATCTTGGCCTGATGCTTGCTGCAATCTTGAACATTTTGTTTAAAAACAATCAAAGGTTTTTTATCTTGACTTCTTATTATAAATTCATGCAAATATGATGCATCTTGAGTATTTATACTTTTAACTCCACTGTTGATATTTCATTTTCTAGCATGAAAATGTGATAATTGCTATCCTATGTAAATTTCTTCTGGGATTGATGACAGAAATCATTTTACTTATATAATTGTTGATTAGAACATATTCATGTGAAGTAGGATTTTATGCTGATTACAGATGTCAAGATTTGCTTTATGTTATCTTACTTCTTGATTGAAAAGATTGCAAGCAGGTCTACCATTTGTCGTGTACCCAATCTTCTCAGCTATTGATCTTTTTGGCATTTATCAAGGGCTAAAACATGTACATCTGCAAACATTAACTAAGGTTAGTTTTAACTGTTGCAATAAATCAATTGATACTCTATCAATATGTTGTTACATGTCACAACTCAAGGTCTTGTTTTTTTCCCCATATGTTGACATTTGTGCTGTACTCTTGAAATTCATGCATAAATCTTGTGTGTATCTAACATAGCAAGAATATTCCCCCCATCTTTTAAATCTCCTGTATCCTTGCCATTTTCCATTAAGTAGTAGCTTCTATGTAATAATCCGAAAAATCATCATTATGACATTTTCAATTGACTGTCTTTACCCAACATGTCCAACATGCATATGTTCTGATTTAAGTAACTACTATGTTCATCAGAACAATATTTTGATTTCAGTTGTCTTGAAGACTAATTTTAAATAAATATATCGTCTCTCTATAACGGTTTAAAATTTTAGATGAGGTGGTTTAACATAGATATGACAACAGAATTGATTCAAGTATTGCTGCTGCCCATTTAAAATAATTTTGCCCTAGGCTGGCCTTCAATGAATAACAATTCCAGCCTGCCCGTGAAGGTGTATGGAAGACAATTTAAATAAATACATTGTCATCTCTTTAGCAACTTGAACTTTTAGATGATGTGGTTCAACAAGTTATTAAAGAGGGAACATCTTTATTTATTTAAATTTAGTACTCATGTCATCCCCTCACAGGCAGACTAAATTTACTTTTCCCATATAAAAAATGACACGTTCACTTGAACTCAAGACTTCTACGTGCTTTGATATTATGTTAAACCATGCCATCTAATAGCTTAAACCACTTTATTTATTTGAGATGTCTCGTTTTACTAGCTAATTTGGTTCACTATATTTTCTATACCTTGGCAAAGCTCAATTCAACCTTATCTGCTACGCGTTGCATTTAAGCATCTTTTCCTACTTTCTTCTCCAGGATAGGCTTGAGATAATAATGAACACCTGGATTAATCTGGGATACGTTCCTTCTCCAGCTGAAGTGAGTAAAGAGGAAGGCATTGATCTCTTTTGGAGCAAAGGTGAGGTTTTCCTTTGTACGTAGCCATACATATCTTTAGTTCATTTTCTTGAGCTGTCTTCATATCAGAGATAGCTTCTAAGTAAGATTTGCTTTAGGCAGGGAGCTTTTGCCTATAAGAATTGGTTGCTTAAATCCCAAGAGGCAAATACCGAAGCTATCAATGATGACAATGCGTTCATTAAATGATAAGGATTTTTACTTCATATGCATGGAGAGCGTTACTAAAGGATTCAACAAAATAGGGGATGTGAGTACATTCAAGGAACTCGCACTTTTATTTAATATGTTATGTTGCTAATTTTATTGAGAATTAGAGCATATTTGGTTGAGCTTAATGAGTTTAATTTATAAGTGGAAAAGTAAGTATTGAAATAATTATTCGATCAATTCTGGAATATGACTAATTTATTTTTAAGCTTAGCCAAACAAGCTCCTGTTGCAAGTATTTCTTGTTATTCTGCCATCAAAGTCAATTATGTTGACAAAATTGCAGCATGGCGTTCTTCTTTGTCTACGGGAAGGTGCTGGCACTTCAGATGTTATCATGGGTTTATTGCAGGTGAAAGATCCTTCCTTATGTAATGTGACTTTCCATAAAAGTAGATATCAAATTTTGTTCGACTAATCTGGCTGTTATAAGTAGTGTTATTTTGAAATTAGCCTGTCCTACTTTGTTCATGTCTCTGTCGATTGTTTATTTGTATTCATGAAATGCGTAGGCAAGTTACATCCGCAAGAGTCTCCTACTAAACAGGATCAGTTGGGAGAATGATTTTGAAGGATGTGATTTCTGGGAGTCAAATATCAGGCTCTGGCTTAATTTGAAGGAAGAAAGCAAGCAAAATGCACAAGTTAATGTCGCCGTTCTGAATGAGCAGATGTCAAGATTGGGTTGGGCATGTAAAAACATTCTTTTGAGCACAATGGAACAGGCACGATATAGTTTTGTAGCCAACTGATTTTGTGTTTTCCTTTCGTTTGCTTCTAGAAATTCTTGAGAGAGTAAAGGGGAGCTGAAGGGGAAAAAAGGGGTAAATTTTGTCGATTTTTATCTTAGAAATTTGTTTTCTTTCTTCAAAAGTTCTGCTTACTTTCTTTTCCTGGAGAATTGGGTTTCCTGAAAAATGAAAAGCAATCTCTTTCTATTCTCATTAACTCTCTCTCTCTTCACAACCTCCTAAAACGAGGAAAGGAGGTGAAGTTCTATGTTTACTGACCCATTTTTATGTTACCATGCTCTTTCTCGTTCCTTCATGATTCCTAATCCTTCATTCTGAAGATGTTTAATGAAATATTCTCAATTTGTACCCAAGGAACTGTCCTCCAATCATACATCTTGAAATATCATTGGCAGGTTTGTACCGACTGAATAGAGTAGATTATCTTGAATCTAGTCAAATCATGTCTACGGTATAAACCTGGGAAGGTTTACCCGGCACATCCAGGTCTTGACCAAGCACGACCCTCGTACGTTACTACATACCAAACATGCAATAAGAATTGGTAAAACATTTTATGCAAACTCAAGAAATAGCCTTTTAAACAAAAATTAGATCACAGTACTTTTTCAATAGCCCTGTCAAGCCAAGGCATCAAAGAAATTATTTCTAGAATAAAAATAGTAGCAAGGAAAGACTTGAAGCAATTGAAAGAGAAGTGCAGAGCAATACTATGACCCTGTACATGGTAACCAAGTAGAATTGATCGCATATTGGGTATGTTAAACTATATATAATGTAAAAAGACCGTTTCCAACCTTCTGAGGAATTGAAAATAAAACGAGGGTAAATAAGATTACGTCTGCTTAATTTAGTACCACCAGTATCAGTCATGTCACCAGCATGCTCAATGTAGGAGAAACTATCTCCCCCGACAACTGAAAATTGTTGAATCCATAAATGGAAAGCTACACGAGCATGTTACATAGAACTATAACTTCCTTTTCATTTCCAGTATTTTACAATTATACTGAATAAACTATTTCATAACAAGAATTAGCCTACAACATGAAATGCTAAGAGAAAACCACAGCACAAGTCATTCTGAAGATTGCAGCACCAATTTTCAATCACTTGCCAGTTACCAATCCAGCAGCACAAACTCACAGTACAGAAAAACATACAAAGAATATAATCCAAATTGTTCCTATAACATGTTTGCTCATTCACGCGTTTATGTACGGTGGGGATAAACTTCTTTACTTGAATTCAATGAGAGAAGGAATTTGCATCCATGCTATAGACCGAATACTCACTTGAGTTGAAGTTGTTTCTCTCATCATCCCAATCCAGAATCTCCCTTGAATACTTTAGTGCAGCATCAACACTATTTGGCTCCAGCCCCTTCACTAGTGATACATACAACTTTCGACCAGTTAAATCCGAGTACAGCCTCTTGAACTTAACAGCAATATAATGAAATGCCAACTGTCCGAGAGATGGGTTATGGTTTATGTTGTTTCTGTTGCTGTTGGAGCGATTGCGACTTATCACGGGATGAAAATCATCAAACCAATCACATTCACTTAGAGGAACCTGTTCTACCAATTCCTCGAATAAATCAAATTTATTTAGTAGTAAAAGGAAGTCTATCTGATCAAAAGTTGGATGAGTAACAACACTTTCAAAAAGTTTTTTACTTAACCCCATCTTGTTAACAGAGATCCCTTCACCATCAATAACATACTGATTATAGTCACTTAAGGAGACACAGAAGATAACGAGTCGAACATCCTCAAACATCTCAAGCCACTTGCAGTTTTCTGCAAAACCTTTAGTCTGCAATCTAATCAGCTGAAATCTGGAAACCAGAAGATAATGTTAGAAAATACTAAAGAACCAGGCATAAAATCTTCAAATAGATAAAAACGAACAAACAAGACAGTAGTCAAAGTATACACCACACAGTAGTTTGGTGATTAATGCTTAGTTCAAATGGTGTAGAGTGAGGAACACAAATCTTCAAATCGATTCAATTTGGCATCTTAAGCTTCCCAATGAACATAAATGGGGCAGATCTTAATACGACGCATTCATTATAAATTCTATTCAACCATGATATATAACTTACTAAAGATGTGTGCAAATCACATGCTTTATATGATGCTTAACTAAATGTTAAGTAAATGATAATGATGGCTTTGGTGTTTGTACTACATTCTCTTGAATGAAATATAAAACATGAAGTTAAGGCATATACTATTTGGACTGTGATCCTTAAGTTGACATGCAGAGGGTGACCATGAAGACTATGAATGGTGACATTGCAGGCTATTCTTTTGAGGAAGTGCTCATCAGTTTATTGGTGGCAGGGAGGATGATGTGAAGAAGGTAGAGGTGCCATTACATGATGTTTGAGTGCAAATAGAGTTTTGATGTGGAAGAATCTAATACAATGAAACTGAATGAAGTGGACCAACTATAGTATCTCACAATTCAGTAAAAAATCCATGAATGTTTATGCATTTAAACCAATAATCTATTGACATTTCGAGAAACTCGCTAGACACCCAATATTCGGTACAAATAAAGAGAAAGAGAAAGAGAAAGTAAAGCTTAGAAACATCACATTCAACACCCACATGAAAACTGCCAAAATGGGTGTGACTTGATTGTCAAATTAAGTCGTTTTTAGTCAAAGCCCAAACCTTCTAGCATGCTCGCAAAAGGCAGGCCAAGTCACGTAGAAGTGTGCACTTGTGGAAGTTCTGTAGCGTTTCAACTAATCATTTTTTCCAGCAAGCCATAGGTCCAGGTAATTTGTAATTTCTATCTCATTCTCTCAATATTAACTCAGTCTTCCATTATTATTACCCCTCCCTCTAAACTTAACATCTCAGATTGACTGACTTCAATGGTCTACTTTACAAGTTATTGGAGGCCGTATTTTACACTTTGTCAAATAAAATTCTCAAACAGTAGACGTTGAGTTTTTGGGCTGCATTAGCATTAACTGATTATAATTTTAAATTTGCAAGAATTTTTAAAACATTTACATTAGTAAGATATTATAAACTTGATATAAAAATTCAAGATTAGTTATTGATTTGGGACAGGAAGACTATAAGCATGTCTGCATTTGTCTTCAAAACCCAAATAACATCAATATTAACTCCGTTTACCCCTCCCTCTAAAACTAATGTCTTGGAGGCCGTATTTTACACTATCTTTGTCAAATAAAATTTGCAAACAGTATATGTTGAATTTTTGGGCTGCATTAGCATTAACTGATTACAATTTTAAATTTTCACAAATTCCTTAAAACATTTACATTAGTAAGATGTTATAACTGAATATAAAAATTCAAGATTAATTATTGATTTGGGACAGGAAGACTATAAGCATGTCTGCATTTGTCTTCAAAAGCCAAATAACATCAATCATCTGTTGAATTGTGAAAATTTGTTTACTATAACTAGGCTAGGTGTGGCTTGCAATGTGGGACATTCATCGTATTATCATTGGATATGACAACATTAATATCAACCATGAGCCCACAATAGGGTAGAGCCACATTCAACATTTAGCTTGTCATTCGCCTTCTATAGTTGAATAAATCAACAGAAATCACTTTTTCACCTGGTGTTCAATTCCTCTTTAAGTACTTTTCCAGTTAAATGAGAGAACATTACTTTCTTCCATTTCACTCTAAACATTTTTCCTTCCGGCCACTTCTATTGCATGCCAATCATAGGATTGAAGGTAGAACTTGACACGGAATGGCACAGAAAAAAGGTTGTCTACGCACGTGATTGTTTTCCCCATTTCATGAGTGTTGAGGAGGGAGGATAGTAGACAAGTGATAATTTCTTCCATCCAGCTCACCAAATTTTTAGGACAAAGTGATTTCCTGCTCATTTATTTGAATCTACTAAACACGTAACGACCAAACACCAACTGTTTTTGCATGAAAATAAGGCCCGAAGTATGGTAGTGGCCGGACCAGGTAAAAACTTTCATCGAAGCTCAAAAGGATGAACTACAATCTATATTCATCTATTTTACCCCTAGACTCTCTTCCACTCTCCACTCCATATTTCGCCATTTATTTTCTTCATATATTTAGTATTTAATTGATACAGTTGTTCAATAATGCAGAAACATGTACATAGAGGTGTAGTGTTAAGTTTTATAAGCACATAATAGTGAACAAAACGAGTAGCAAGTTCCTATTTGTTATACTTGACAACTTAAGTTGAAAGTCTACAATCTGAATAAACCTAAGTCCCATTGAAAATTTTAAAAAGAAAAAAAAATGCAGAAACAAAATTTTACATGATTGAAGCTGAATAGGGAAGTTACAATTAGAAAAGTTCGAGTGTAACAGATCTTTCTTGGCAACATACATAGATCAATTATTAGACATACCTGAGCGGAGAATCAAGTGGATCCTCACTGTCAACATCATCGTCATGTGCTGGCTCAGGAAATGAGAAGTCCACACATGAAAGCCCATTGGATGAAGTAACACCTTCAGCATATAGGATATCCAAATCTGATGGCATATAATCTGGTTTCAATATATCAACAGCCTGAAGAGGAGAAAACAATGCAGATTGCACAACTATAAGTGACTGAGCTCAAGCTGAACCAATCAATACGGTAACATGGAAACTTGATTTCAATTCATCAAAGTTCTAATGAACGTTGTCAATGAACCTAAGCTACAGGTTTCTCTGTCCAAAGAAGCTAGCCTTAAGAAAGTACGCTTCTGCTCATTCAGGCTGGAGAACTGACTACGTATCTATATCACAAGGCGATGTTGAAACACACTACAATTTTCAACAATTTGAAAGGCTCCACATTTCTACGAACTACCAAATACCAAAAGCAATCCTTTCTTATGATAGTTATCCACCTGATTGGAACATTTGCTCTTGTAAGTATCAAAACAAAGAGACAATTATGCCTACAAGATCAATGTAAACCACTTGTCATCTCGATTATACATTGGACAAGATAAATGATCACAAACATAATTGAGGAACACCCATATAGACTATCCAGAAATCTAAAGCAGCAAAATATGAAGGTTCGCATGAATTGATTTGCAACATTTTAGTAGGCATCACCAAAATATGTCTGGTGTATTCATTATAATCAATAAAACATGCATGTGAAATGAGTTATGATCTTACTCGCTCAAGGAAATA